GAAATCTATGAAATCTTTTTTTGAAAAATTGATTATTTCAAGGTAGAACATTTCTTTTTAATACTTTCTAGGATTCTGAAATAGCAAAAAGGAGAACAAGGGTGTGATATGGCTTGACCTATCACAGCAGATTAGTTGCAGCAAGGGAAATTTAGACTACGTTTGAGGACTTTTATCACTTTGTGTGGTTAAACATCGGAATTTTGAGAATACTTGATTGGACAAGACCCTGAACAACCCAATCAAACTTCAGTTAGTTTTGCTTTGAGTAGATGATTCGATTAGGTGACCTCCAGAGATCCCTTTCAATCTGAATTGTTTTGTTGTAAAGCAAAGTAGAACCTGCTTCTCATGGGAAAGTCTATCATACTGTCTTTCCTGTTGATTTTTTTTAAACCCAAAGTAGAGTGTTTTTTAGATTCAGTATATATTTGTCATTTATTTCCTGAATTACTGCTGCGTAGGACCATCTGCATTGCAGATTTTTTTTTAAAGAAATTTTTTTTTTCAGAATTGACCATGGCAGTTTATATTATAGCCAATTTTACAGTCTGTATGGTGATTTTTAAAAATTGCAGTGATTTTAAATGATACAGTGTTATTTGACTCAGCTAAGTTGTTGCAGAGCTGAAATAGGTTGCTTCCCAGCTATGCTTCTGTTTTTAACATGGTTGGAACTTCAATAAATGAAGCTCTGAAAAAAAATATCCTTAATGTTACAAGCGTGGTAGTAGGCAGTAGACCGCATTTTCTTACATAAAGGTATCGCTTGACATGTTTTTTTCCCCCAGAATTTAAAAAAAATAATAATACAAAAATAATTAAAAAAAAAAAAAAACAAAACACATTTCCATGTTTTCTGGGCCACTGCTTGGATCCTTAAATTTAAAATGTAATTTTGTGTTCAAGCAAGTGCATGTTTCTGCATTTGCTGCACTCTCCTCTGAGTTACTGGAGGGAGAGACAGGAGCAGTGGGAAGAGGTGAAGACAGAAGTTTCTTTTGGTTAGTGGTAATAGGTGATCGTCAACTGTCAGCTTCTCTCTTGGCATAGATCCCTTGCTATAGAGTAGGAATCTGCAAAAACAGGAGAGAGGTCTGACTGCTTTTACAATCATTTAAGGAGGTAACCAGTGCTGCAGGAAAAAATATTTCTGGATTTCAAGTGATAGAGGAGAGAGAAACCATGTTTTTCTGATTTACTTTAGCACCTTAGAAGCCAGATTTTTCAATTGCTATAAATGAGCATTTTTTTCTTGCTTGATTTAAAGTTATTTGACTGAAAGCAGCTAAGGATGAGGCTCATGCTGGTGTCCTGACAGAAGTTTGACATGAAAAAACTGTTTTATCTTGAAACTTACTGAAAGTTGTGATGATACATAGAGACTTTAAATAGTTCTTTTGCCATTCTGAGCTACCTGATGCAGCAAATAAATCTGACACAAACCATAAAGTGATAAATTTTAAAAAGAGAATATTTTTGTAATTTTTCTTTTTTTCTTTCAGGGAAATCTGATGAACCAAGTTGTGCTTGTGACCAGTTTCATTGTGCTAATGGGAAGTGCATTCCAGAAAGTTGGAAATGTAATAATATGGATGAATGTGGAGACAACTCAGATGAAGAAATCTGTGCCAAAGCTAATCCTCTGGCAGCTTCTTCCTTTCAACCTTGTGCTAGCAATGAGTTCCAGTGTCTTTCTCGCTTCACCAAGCTTTACACTTGCCTTCCAGAATCTTTAAAATGTGATGGTAACATTGATTGTCTTAACCTAAGAGATGAAATAGACTGTGATGTGCCAACATGTGGGCAGTGGTTAAAATACTTCTATGGTACTTTCAGTTCTCCCAACTATCCTGACTTCTATCCACCTGGAAGCAACTGCACCTGGCTGATAGACACTGGTGACCATCGCAAAGTAATTTTGCGATTCACTGATTTTAAACTTGATGGTACAGGGTTTGGAGACTATGTCAAAATATATGATGGATTAGAGGAGAATCCACGGAGGTTGTTGCGTGTGCTGACAGCATTTGACTCTCATGCTCCCCTCACGGTTGTTTCATCCTCAGGACAGATAAGAGTGCATTTTTGTGCTGACAAAGTGAATGCTGCAAGAGGATTCAATGCCACCTATCAAGTAGATGGCTTCTGCTTGCCCTGGGAAATCCCATGCGGTGGAAATTGGGGTTGCTACACAGAGCAGCAGCGCTGTGATGGTTACTGGCACTGTCCAAATGGAAGGGATGAAACCAACTGCACCATGTGCCAAAGAGATGAGTTTCCCTGTTCTCGAAATGGTGTTTGCTATCCTCGTTCAGATCGCTGCAACTACCAGAATCATTGCCCTAATGGTTCAGATGAAAAAAATTGCTTCTTCTGTCAACCAGGAAATTTTCATTGTAAAAATAACCGCTGTGTGTTTGAGAGCTGGGTTTGTGATTCGCAAGATGACTGTGGTGATGGCAGCGATGAGGAGAATTGCCCAGTCATTGTGCCCACTAGAGTAATAACTGCAGCTGTCATTGGGAGTCTTATTTGTGGATTGCTGCTTGTCATTGCACTGGGATGTACTTGTAAATTGTACTCACTCAGGATGTTTGAGCGAAGGTAAGTAGAGTGGTTGGCCTTGACAACTAAAATTTTTAAAGTATCTTTGTATCTTTTATTCTTATACTTGAAATGTTTTTATTGACATACAGTTGTTGTTGCATGTGATTTCTAAAGGCATTGTTCCTTCTTTTTTGACAGTAAAAAGAGGTTAATTAAAAAGGAATAGAAGTACTTTGATCACTTAACTGTTGAGAGTTAAGCTTTTAGATGTTACCAAAAAGTGTGGAAAAGCTGCACATCTGCAATTAAACATCTCAATTCTGTATTTAACGGCATGTTTATTCTATTATAGGCTATCTCATACCATCATTACATGTTCTTCTATTTTTATAAAATAATATAAGCATCTCTCATGATGATGCCCTTTATATTTAGCCCATGCGTTTATTTTTCTTTTAAGGAATTTATCGTTGAGTTGATTTTTGTCATTCTTGTCTCAGCTGGACAGACCATAGGAATGGCTGCAAGAACTTAATGTATATTCTTTGTCAGTTAAATTTCAATTAAATTAACAAAACTTCATCTGCTGAAATTTCAGATTGTAATAGTCTGATGTAGTTTTAAATATATATACATATCACATTCTTAGATATTAAAAAATTTCTTTTCTCTTTGAAAGATCATTCGAAACTCATTTGTCAAGGGTTGAGGCTGAACTCTTAAGAAGAGAAGCTCCTCCATCCTATGGACAGTTAATTGCCCAGGGTTTAATTCCACCAGTTGAAGATTTTCCTGTTTGTTCACCAAATCAGGTAAGATTCCAAAATAGCAGACTGACCACTTAAATTTTAAAGAGACTGAAATAAAGATATTTTAACTTTAATCTACATTTTCTTATTCTATAGCATTTCCTTTTCTTCCTTTCAGGCCAGTGCTGTTATAGTAAGGATTAGCTATTAGACAAAATCGTGATACGGTAGCACCACACGGTTTTCTTTGCAGGCCGTTTTTCTCGTTAATGAATGCTAGTAATAATGCACACTATAGAATCCCTCTTGCGTGAAAAATAATAGGCTGGTAGATCAAGTTTTATGCTCTGTATTGATGTTGTTGTGTAAGTTAAGGTTGCAAGCTAGCCCTTTGAAATTTGGGAAAGAAAAATTGAGACTTCTAATGCAAAATGGTAGTTCATATCCACTGTGTATATGTGTTTAGGTAAAATCATGCCCACTATGTGTAGAAAAGATGGTGACAAAGGCAAAGCTGTAATATTATATAAAATTAACAGGAATGCGTAAAAAAGCTGGTAAAATAGTTGATTCTCAGATGGATCATTAGCACCATTCTTATTTGGTTGATGAATTAATTTCTATCAAAGCAACTTTTTATTTTTAAAAAAATGGCTTTCAGTTACAATGCTCTTTGGTGAAGTAGAAAAGTCTCAGTCTAGGAATCCTGCTGTGGTGCTGTATTAGATCTGGCATTGTCTTGTATGATGTGTTGCTCTTAATACAGCAAATTTTACTGTTAGCTAATATTGCTAAGCATGTAAGAAAAGAGTTACAAGACTGTAAGAAGGGGAGCTGTTTTTTTTTTATTTTGAACAGAACTGATTTCATTACACTTACTCTGCCATAGATTTCACTTAAACTCTTTCACGCATACATGTTCACAAGCAACAGCTGTGATCTGTCACAAAGGATTTTGCAGAAGAAAAGAGGAAAATAAGTTGCAATTTGCATGAGAGACTTCGAAAACAGGAAGAAGGCATTGTGAAGATTTTTTTCAGTAGCTAAATTAGCACTGAAACTTCTTAATGAGCTTATTAATGAATACCTATAATGAACACTGTAGAATCCCTCATTCTTATTGGGTGGAGTATTGTGATTATAATAAAAATCAGTATGTTTCTGTTTAAAAACAATTCTGTACTTTTACAAATTTGGCTTGCCTGTCCTCTTTTCCGACATTAAGCTTCCCTGGTTTGTGATGCAGCTATGCTCACAACTCTTTTGAGGTAGGGTTAGGTCAAGGAAGTCTATAAGGACAGTGCAGTTGTCATGCCCAGATGGACAAGTCCTCTGCTACAGGTAACTTGGAACAAACGAATGTTTCCTACACATCCCTACCCTATCTGGGACACTTCAGGTTTGGTGCACATGAACACGTTTAGGAACCATTTTCTAATGAACTCAGCTTGTTTAGACCGTTTTTCATCGTGAAACGACACAAACGTGGCCTAAAGATCTCAAGTTTTACTAAAATGAGATCTCCTGATAGAACAATTCTAGAAACCCCAGGCATGTAGTGACTGCGCTCAGAGGTTGGTACCAGAGCTTTTCAAATGCTGTGCATTTACTGAAATCTTCTTTTATCTTCAGTTTGACTTAAACTGAATTAACCACTGTTGCTTTGGATATATTTTAAATTATTTTTCAGTACTAGAATATAGTGGAATTTGAAAGACTTGTTGAAAGTGGCAGTCTTTCGTAATGACATGTAACAAAATCTAGTTGCTTCATAGTCTGTGTAAAACATGATTTCACACTCTGTAGATACACGTGCAATAGTTTTGAACAATGAAAGATAGTTAGCAAATTCCCATTATGAAGACCAGTGTTTCTGGTAAGACTTGTGGCTTTGAAGACTTAAGTAGCTATACTGGGAAATTAACTAGCATAAAAATGAGGAATAGTAGGGAGCAGGCCATCACCTTCAAAAATTATGAAAAAGCCTTGTTAGAGCGTTGATGCTTCCATGATAAAATTTTTTATTCTTATTTAATCGATGAGGTTACATTGTTTAAAAGAATTTATTTTTCAGAGGAGAGAACATCAGTAAGAGTAAAAGCTTAAGAAGCAATGTAAATTTTATTCTATAAATTATAAAGCTCACATTTTTATTATGGTTAAGAGTTGGGCAGAGGGAGTCAGTACTAAGTCAGGATGTGTTCAGCACACTTTGTTTTGAGCCATATATACATCTTAAGATTGCAAATCTTTGTAGGACTGAAGATACCTAGACGAGATTTCCTAGAAGTTAGTAGTTTCAAACCAGAGGAATCTTGGTTCTGGTTTGTATGTAATGCTTTCTGCCTAAAACTGCTAAATGTCTTCAGAGCTGGATTTCCAAGGGTGGGTAGGAGTCTCTCCAGTAACTTTAGAAAGTAAGGCTACTGACCATACGTGTTTGTATTCTTGAATTAAAATATTCTGTGAACTATTGGAAGGGAAGGGGTAGGTTGATCATGAAGTGTTGTTTGGATACTGTGCTCTGAATGCCCTGTGGTGTCTGAAGAATTGTGGAAGGGAGCTGCAGCTGACTGCATGAGAACACAGAAGTTTAGTGTTTGTAAAGAAAGTGAAATATATGCATGTATGTTAAGTGTTTAACTGAGAGAAAACAGGCTATTCTGAAGAATATTTTTTTGCCCTAATCTTCATTAGAAGATGCAAATATGGACTTTATGCTGTAACTAACCACATCAGTGAATGTTTTCAGAATCATGGGCATCTGGCAGATTTTCTACTGAATTATTTGAGAATTGAGCTATGTAGCTGTGACAGTGTTTTCTGTAAGTTTGAGTAAAGAACCCTCAAGTCAAAGGTGTTAATATGTTTGTGTTACCTTACAATTTAATAGTTGTACAAGGTTTTAAGCAGAAGAATACAGGCATGCACGATTCTATAGCTGAATGACTAGAAAACACATGCCAAATTTGGGAAATGTATAGTTTAGAACATGTAAGATGATTTTAATTAACCAGAAGCGTTAAAGCAATGCTGGACTTGTGCAAAGCATTT